CTACCTGTCACATTTGGCCCAGGCTTGCCCAGCAAAGTGACGCCATAGTTTCGCATACTAATTATAAATTCCTCCATCGCAAGCTCATTATAAATTCCGCGATAGTGTTAGCTGAACAAAGAGACGTCATAGATTTTGCAAGCTAATTATAAATTCTGCCATTGTGTTAGCTGAACAAAGTAACGTCATAGATTTCGGTTACTTCCGTCCCCATATTTTGAATACTAATTACTTCCGGCATCTAAATTTGCATACTAATTACGTCCGTCCCCAGAGGGGGGTCTTTTACTACTCAAAAGGATAACACTAGCTTTTTGATGACGACCCTGGGTAAATAATCGAGATACCACAGGACGGGTCATCCAGTATGATTATGTTGTTGTACTGGGTATTAATCTCACTCAGATCATCGGACAACTCGGGCAAATCTTTCTCAAACCGGATGCTTTTCCCAAGGGATTTCCTCAAGTCGTCGTAACGATCTTGCCAATGATTGTAGCACCAAAGAATGCGAATACTTCTTTGCTCCTCGTATACGATACGATTGTTTTGCAAAATTTGTTGGACAAAGTAAGTCTTTCCACTTTGACTCGGACCAATAGCAAAAACCAACTTATAGGGCTTAGCAGTCAAAGACGTTTTTGTTGGTTTTAGTACAGCACTTGTTTTCTTTCGAACACATCTCATTTCTTTCAGTATATGTGCCGGTTGTGCAGGTAGTAAACGTGGGTTGTGGTTATACGGTGTTGAGAACCTCACCCTTCCTAACACGTTTTTCCTTTCATTTCCGTATAAGTTATGTACTTGACGCAAATGATCACTCATATATCGAAGACCAGGCTTGTTACAGTTGTTGACAATTTGAAAGTTTAATTATAAATGACCGAGAATAAAGTGTTTTAAAACATTTATATTTTTTCCAGGGACATGTGTGTGTGATGCAGGGTCGATGTGAGGTCGATGTGAAGTCGATGTGAGGTCGATGTGAGGTCGATGTGAGGTGATGCCTTGTCGATGAGAGGTCGATGTGGGGTCGATGAGGGGTCAATGTAGGGTCGATGAGCTGTCGATGTGGGGTCGATGAGCCAACTCATGAGCAGGCATAATGGTACAGTGTTGCTGAGTAACAAGTAATTTTTTGACAACTAGCGGAATAAGCTGCGAATGTTGTACATGTGGAGAACAATTTAGCGGTTACAATATACGTAGACACGAAAACGAATACTGTCCACTACGCGAACAGCAAAGAAACATGTCTCAAACGGACTCCAATTAGCCTGGAAAGGGATTTCCAAGACGACATTTCGACAACTTCTGGGTCTGAAAGTTTGATGACGACTGATAATGAGTCTGAAGAAGAAATGGACCTTGGAATACCGTTGATAGAAGAAGCAAAGCAAAGAAGTAATATAGCTTTTCAGGAAATGAAAGAAAGTCTGGATGAGCAATCTGCTAAGGACAAAGCTTACTCTAATATTCTGCCTAAACTCCAGAAGGAACTGGAAAATATTTATATGGAAGTTGTATAGTAGGTGGTTTTGAGGCATGATTTTTGAGGGTGCGTAAGGGTGCTGAATGTACGCTAATTAATATTCATACATATAAGGGTGCGTAAAGTGTGTGGAGTGAGGCGGAGGTTATTACATACATACATACATACATACTTTATTGTGTTCCTCAAAGAGGCCTTTCAACAATAATTAACATGGAATGGTGATTAAAAAACAAGGTTAAAATTACATATATAAAAATTTACTAGGAAAAATCTATTATGAAAATAGTCCATTACTAAGAATACAGTCTGTCTAACATGTCTTTCCTTAATTTATTTTTAAAACTTCTCAAAGATGGCATTTGTTTCGTGTTATTGTCCAGATCATAAATGTTCGACATTACGCGCAAGACGTGATGGTTTGTGCATAAAAACGTTTGACAAAATCAGACAGCCTGATTCACGCCTTAATCATTTAATACCACCTTCTCGGGCCAATGGACACAATTGTAATTTAAGGTACGGAAATAGATTAACACTGTTTCCTTGTAAGACGGAGCGCTTTAAGAAAAGTTTTTTTCCTACTATGTGTATTCAATCACATAATTTATAAATTTTGTAAATTTTGTAAATTTAAAAGTTCTTTCGATATTAATTCATAGATCAGTAAACTATTGTTGTAATATAATGCCAGTAACACAAGGTACTTTTTAATACTTTTAACTAAAGTTTGTAAATAATTTCGCAATTCGCTTTCATCGAGCGCGACGATTTTTATAATAAACCATTAATAATAATAATTCCATAGTTTCGCCCATCTATAATGAAAAGTTCTCTGGCCAGTGGTGGTATTATAAATCCGTATTTGCAGGAGCTCTCGGTTACGATGTAATATTCATGTATATTTGATCGTTTACTAAATTTATTGCACAAGTAAGGTGGTGCTAGATGGTTAATACACTTGTACATTAAAACTGTATCTCTAAAAAGTAAGTGCTCCTTAACTGGAAGCCAATTCAGTTCTTGCAGTTTTGGTGAGATATGATCGAACTTCTTGCTGTTTATCACGATCCTACACGCGAAGTTTTGTACCAGTTGTAGCTTGTTAATATTTTTGGCCGAAGTTTTGACCAAGCAGAGGAGCAATAAAGAAGTTTATTCATTACCAATGCTGATACCAAGAGGGATATAGTTTCTTTATCAAAACATTTGCTTACTCGGTTGATCTGTGACAGTTTGGCAAGATCAACCACCTAGTTCTGACCGACAAAGTCATGTTACGTTACTTAACAACAACACTCATCTCTGTAGAAAGCCTCTACCCTGGATGTGGCATTCTCCTGGCTGGCGATTTTAACCAACTGAAGATTCGCCGCCTCTTAACCCAAATTCAAAATGAAACAACTAGTCCACACCCCTACTAGAAGTAACAACATCTTGGACCTCATAATCACCAACATGTACCAGATTTACGATCACCATTCTGTTCACTCCATCCCTCCTTTCGGTCTCTCGGACCACAATGGTGTCCTTCTTCGTCCCAAAGCGCGGTACCCTAACGCCAACTCTAGCAGGAAAACCCTGGTGAGACGCGACACCCGCACAAGTAGAAAATACGAACTCGGTAGGTACCTAAGTTCCATCCATTGACCGTTTCTCGAAGATGTTGAAAGCTGTGAAGTCAAGTTACAACTTCTTGTTGATTTAATTACCGTGGGCGTTGAAACAATCATGCCTCTAAAGCGAATAAAACTTCATGTAAATGATCCCCCATGGGTTATCTCTGACTTTAAAGAACTAATCAAATCTCGCCAGCAAGCCTTTTCAAACGGGGAAATGGAAAACTATCGTCATTACCGAAACCTTGTCAATCGAAAAAGGAAAACCCTCCAAAGCAGGTACTTCGCTTCTAAGATCCAGAATATTATCTTAAGCAAACAAAACCAATCTAGTGATGGAACGCAGTTAAACGTATTGCTGGAATGGCGACACCTTGTGGCTCTGAGTCTTTATGTTCTCAACTGCAAATTGCAGGTATTGACTCACTTTCTCCGCACGAAATTGCCGCCAAGATTAATACGGCTTTTTTAGAACCGATGCAAACTTATCAAAGTATTTACCCTCCTCCTGCTTTCGAATCAAACTCTGAACAGCCCCAAATCTCGGCCGAGGCTGTTTCGTCTGTATTGCGAAATTTACCACACAAAGCACCCGGACCTGACCGCGGCATCCCAAACTGGATTCTTAAAGAATATGCCATGATACTCTCCAATCCCATTTGCTACGTTATAAACAGTTTCTTCGCTAATCAAGGTCTTCTTTCTTCCTGGAAATTAGCTGATGTTATTCCAGTACCAAAAAAAGCCCCGTCGAAGATGTCAATAACCACCTTAGACCCATCTTCCTGACACCGACTATTTCTAAAGTTGCAGAGGAGTTTGTTGTGAAATTAGCCCTAGCCAGTTTGGAGCCATACCGAAGTCCTCGACAGTACACGCGCTTATCTCTATAATCCATCATTGGGCCCAAGCCACGGACAGTACAGGAGCCGCAGTTAGCGTGGTCTTATTTGACTACAAAAAAGCATTTGACCTAATTAGGTAGGTAGGTAAAACTTTATTTAACTACGCTAACCCCTACAGCGAAGGCTGATTTCCAAGGGGGGCGTAGATTTAAATAGTTAAAAAATACAATTGATACAAATTATGGTCATACATTACATTACATTACATTACATTACATTACATTACATTACATTACAGTTAACAACAATTACAATACATTTACAAATACAACTAGTATATAATTATTTACAAATTAAATTAATGTTAGTACTGTTCAATATTTTAGATTAACGTAATTATTTTATTAATTAATTAATTAATTGGCCAGGTGTCGTATACATGAATTAAACGAAGCAAGAGTATGTTTGTTTCTTGCTTCATCAGAAAGGCTGTTCCACAATTTCGCTCCTCTATAACTAAGACTTTTTTTAAGAAATTCAGTTTTAGGTTTGGGCAAAAAGAGTTTGGTGGAAGAGCCTCGCATATTATAGTAATAAGAGGAAGACGTCCTTTGAAAAATATTGGTTAGTCGTTTTGGCGCCAGTTCACGAGTTATTTTATACATAAGACTTGCTACGCAATGTGTTCTGCGTTCACTTAAAGGTTTCCATTTCAGTTCGTCTAGAGCAAGTTCAGATTGACCGTGTTCGTTTTTACGGCCAGTAATAACTCTAGCTGCCCTATTTTGTAGTTTCTCGAGTCGATCAGAAAGTGTGGCACCAATGGTGTCCCAAACTTCGCAACAATAATCTAGGTGTGGAAGTATAAGTGCATTATAAGCACAAATTAATGTATTATGATCCACACAAGATTTTAGCTTTCTGATCGCCCCAATTCCGAATGAAATCTTCTTAGCAATTTTATCAATATGCTTATCCCACAATAGAAATTCGTCAATATGAACTCCAAGCGCTTTTGTTTCTTTGACCTTTTTAATTGCTGTATCACCAATTTACATTTGGAGCAGCAAGTAAATTATTTATGTTGTACCGAGATCCTATTAGTAGATACTCAGTTTTGACTAGATTAAGAGATAATCTATTTGCAGAAAGCCATTGTTTAACGTTGGTAAGGTCATGATTTATGGCCACCTCTACATCTTGAATTGACTTGCCAGATACAGTTAGAGTCGTATCGTCGGCAAACATTCTTGTCGACGAGTACCCCAAACTGTGAGGCAGATCATTAATGTAGATCAAGAATAAGAGTGGGCCAAGAATTGAACCTTGAGGGATTCCACATGTAACCAACTTCGTGCCCGACAGAGCGCCATTAACGGAGCACATTTGGGTTCTATTCGCTAAATAGGATCCTAAAAGGTTTAATGATGGCTTCTGTAGGCCATAAAGATCAAGTTTCGTTAAGAGGATGTCATGATTTACGGTGTCGAACGCCTTTTGTAAGTCCAGAAAAACAGCTATATTAAACAAACCACGGTCCATATTAATAAACCATTCATTTGTACTATCTAAAAGAGCAGAGGCTGTAGAATGAAACTTCCTGAAACCAAATTGACGAGGGGACAACAACTCCTGTGTAACAAGATACTCATGGAGTTGTTCGTATAATACTTTTTCAAAAAGTTTACTTACTGCAGGGAGGATAGAAATAGGGCGATAGTTGTTTAATAAGTTTCGTGGGCCGTTTTTAAATATGGGAGTGACTCTTGCTATTTTCCACTCAAATGGAACAGTTGAACTTATAATGGCCATATTGAAAATTTTTGTCAATGAGTTTGTAATTACAGGAGCAGCAATGCGAATAATTTTAGCAGGGATTTTGTCAATTCCAGTAGATTTACGAGGATTTAGAGATAACAGAAGTCTGTATACGTTCGACTCAGACACTGTTTGAAAATTAAAGCTACTAGTTGTTGTCGTGATGTAATCCTTGAAATTTCTGTCACCATTGTCGATATTTTTGGCAATATCTGGACCAATATTGGTGAAATAATTATTAAAACACTCCGCTAACTCCGTTGGATGTGAAATTTGTCCTCTCTGTGTTTCAAGACAATTTATTTCTCTACTTTCATGTTTACGGTTTAGGATTTTATTCACAGTTTTCCATGCTTGTTTGGGATCATGTTTGACTTTCTTAAATTCTCCTTTATAATATGCTGCTTTTGTTTCTCGCAATGCATCAGTTACGCGATTTCTAGAGGTTTTGTATGCGTTCCAGTAATTTTCGGATTTATGTCTAATAGCAAGAGATTTAAGGCGATCGCGTTCGTGGATTTGTTTTTTAATTGTACTAGTGAGCCAAGGAATATTTGGTTTACTTTTAAGTCTCTTTTCCCTGATTGGGGCATGCCTATCAAGAACTTTTACGAAAAGTGTTTTCCATGTGTCCCACATCTTATCAACGCAGAGATTGTTATCTAATAATTCCCATACCTGACCACGCAGGTCAGCTTGGAAACTCTCAGCATTAAAATATTTTAAATTTCGAATTTCGACTTTCTGTACTTTCACTATATTCGGGTACAACTAGTACTTTCTGTACCGGAATATAGTGAAAACATTCTTTGATGCAGAATTCGGCTAGAAACATCAATGATACATACATGAAGCGTTTAATATTCAAGGTGTATACACTTCATTGAAAGGGAAATTGTACGTGAGGTTAATCCTAGCTTATTCACAATTACACTTTCTTACATATATAAACTAAGTGTGTTGACGCACGTAACGCATGCAGGGTCACCAACTAATAGGAAACGCAGCCCAAGCAAGGTAGGGTTTCTCAGATGGTCACTGACCTGCGCGCATTAACCCGATCTCACGGAGATTAACCTTTTCAATGGTGGGAGGCAACGCGCTAACCGCATGTGCCACCAGCACTCCCCTATTTCGTACAGCAATTCACATAAAGCAAGACGCCGCGGTGGTTAGTTACCCCCCCCCCCCGAAAAAAGCCCCCCAAAACACCAAAAAACCCCTAAATGTCACAAATAGAAATATATACCCACGTGAGAGTGAATAATAATAATACTCACCCTCCATGTGCCGAGAATTTTCTGCCAAAAGAAACTCTGTACGTGATTGTTCCAAGTCAACTTTTTGATGAAGAGAATGCGCGTATTTATAAATTTCATTTTGAACTCTCACCAAGGATATTATAAAAAATGGCAGAATGATTAAAACAGCACACACGAGTAGAGAACGGAGGATCAACAATGTTGTATTCTTGTTTACACTCTTTTTGATATTGTATGAAATTCTCTTCCTTTCGTTGGCTTCCAGACGGACCAATAGATTACAGTACTGTGACATAAGGTCAAACCACCCAAACACATCCTTCACTGTTGATTTAGTAGGGGGATTCGGTGAAAAGTTTTGCCGTGTGGTTTTAAGTTTAGCCAACCATATGGAAGTGTTCACTTCGTTTTCGAGAGAAAGGTAATTGTCGTTCACCATCGGGGAAAGGAGTCGGGCAGTTTCCAAAAATGCTTCACCGCGGACTCTTCTCTGGGAAATATTTTGAAAGACAAAAATGTTAAATTGTGGACTCTTTCTTGGGAAATATTTGTAAAGTTCAAAAATGCTTTACCGCAGATTCTTCTCTGGGAGATATTCTGAAAGGGCACAAATGTTTCACCGCGGACTCTTTTCTGCGAATTCTTTTGAGAGAATGAATATCCTACATAATAATAATACACTCCGAACGCCTTTTCTATTTCAAATTCCTCTCTGCTTTTAACAATCATTTCATACGCAGCCAGGTCATTTGCATCATCAAGGCTTTGAGAGTTATTGACTAGCCATGATATAAACACGTGTATCCAAGATGTGTAGACTTTGAAGAACTGCTGGATCTGACCTTGTTCAGTTTCATTCCTTAACTGAGATCTTAAACGATTAATTGCCTTCATGAAAGATGCAAAATCTCGAATAACTGTTCCATTCATTCCCGCGAAGGTAAACTTCCATTTGTGCCGTAACTCTTCAATTCTCATATCCGTAACAGTAGTGACGTTTTGTAGCTTTAATTGGTTTTGTCCGGTCATATTTCTGGATAATAAAGCCATGCAATGAGATGTAGAGGTGCTTCTTTCATCTTGAAGAGAAATTATGACGGAGACCACCTTGAGACTAGTTTGGATGTACTCTTTCAATTCTTGTTGCCTTTTTAAATCTTTCGCTGTGGAAACAACATCAGAAATAAGGAAGCAAATAGATAAGACAGTTAGAACGGCAATAACACAGATTTTTATAACTTGCCATCGTTTATGTTTTGTGGTGACAATACTTCTCGTATTTTGAATTTCCGCAGTGGATGCTGGGAGGTTTGTTGCAATCGTTGCCATCTTAAAGTGTCTTGTGTCCTGAAATTGTGATTGAATGAGTTAGTGCGTGATCTTTAGTTATATTAACTTTCTTTATTTTTTAAGCCGTTTGATCCATACAATGTAAAACTTGGAACACTTTTACTGACAATCAAATGACACGTAATTTAAATTAAGAGAGACATTATAATTTAATCGCCGAAGTGCTGCCTATACAAGGATATACATAATTATAAATTGTATAAAGAAATTCACTAAAAATTGAAATCAAACTCCGCGTAGGCAAATGCATTACTTTGTAAACTGCCTAAACCAGATAAGGGAGTTCTTCGAACGTTAGTACAGCTTTCCCAGTTCCCACCCTTGGGACGTTTTTGTACTGCAGAGACAAATTTTATCTAATTACATCAAGCACAGACGTTTCCCATGCAGCAACTTTATAAACATATTCAGTGCACCTGCAAGTCAATGTAAAGGGGGTGATTTCAGCGGCGGAAACAATGTTTCCTATATGTTGCCACCTTCGCTTCGAGGAAGATTCTATATGGTTAGAAAAGAATATTTGAACAATAAAGTTTGCTGGTTTGTCCACTTTCAGAAACATGCATGCATTGGAAGCAAACGTCGTTTCAGTTTTATTAGCTTCGCCAACAAAAAATATACAAAACTACTATATATAAATTACATAACATAACATAACATAACAGAAATTACAACATATGACGTTTAAGTTTGGCAGGAGCACCGCAACAGCGTCAGCCAATTACTGCGGGTCCAAAAATTATAAAAACTAGGCTAAAAATGTGTTAAAAACAACAAGTTAGCCGTCTTGACATGTTGCGAGCAACGTTACATGAAGTACAAATTGTTTTCCATGATCGAGCGTCCTCGGGGTCATAGGATTCGACAAGAGCGTTTTTGTAGTATTCCATTAATATTGATTTAAATGTACTGAGAGGAAGAGAGAGAGCCGTGTTGCTCTATTAAAAAAAGATCTTTGAAAAGTTGTAGTTTTACATTTTCTCGTAATAAACTGCGTGACATTACTGTTGTTGTTTCTTGTTACTCTCGTCAATCGGACAGCTGGAAGAACATCTGTATTCACAGTTATTATGTTTCCACAACGTTTCCAGTCTTCCAAGATGCAAGAGGGCTTCACTTCCAAAATTTTATGACTATCTATGGCTATGCGTGCTTATTAATATTACAATGTAGGGTGCCTATTGATAACAGAATTAACTGTAATGCTGAAAGGTTTTACCCTAGAACAATTTTCAATGTCATTGTCAATGTCAATGTTGGATCACTATGGTTGGATGAAGCATAGAAATTAAAAATAAGTTTCAAAATATACATTAAGTTAAAATTCAACTCTTATTAATATTACAATGTAGGGTGCCTATTGATAACAGAGTTAATTGTAATGCTGAAAGGTTTTACCCTATAACAGTTTTCAATGTTATTGTCAATGTTGGATGAAGCATAGAAATTAAAAATAAGTTTCAAAATATACATTAATTAAGTTAAAATTCAACACAAAACTAAAAAGATATATAGTTACCAGGTATAATAACGGAAGTCCAATTCAACACACGACAAATAATCAATAGTTAGACCCACACATGCATTAATAACTAAACGGTCAAAAACATGCCATTCTATAAAACATAAAATATAGCATAAACTCCATAAAAGGTCAACACCTGCTTGATCTGTCTAAATATTTGAACACCGTGGGCCGTGGCCTTCGTATATGTGACATTACAAGGAGATTTAATGTCAATAATAATTTAGAAAAATAGAATACTCTTGTTTGCATGCAGCTGTTCTTTTCCTTCTTTCTTTCTTAGCATTTATTTATTCTTAGAGATGAAGAAGATGCAGTATTTCCCAATATATTAAACTAAAGTTTAGACAGTTTCCTTGTGGGCTGTATGTATATATACGCTGTTTAATTACTAATTGCTAATGACATAATCTATAACAAAACACAGAAGCTGCATGTAAATGACAAAATGATGTCATCATTAACGACGCACAATTTTTATAGGGCGTGAATAAGCCAAACTTGCGTTAGTTTCCTACTCTTGAAGAGGTGGACGGCCTCCGTTCAGTGTCTTTAGAATAATTTGTGGACAACTATACGCAACAAAAAATGATTTTCTTATGACTTATTAAGAAGAAAATTTTCTTATGATGATTTTTAATCTTCATATAAAATCAATATAGAATGAAATGACATGATATCACATTCTTAATATAAGAAATAATAGATCAATAAGAAATTATTTCTCAAATTTTCTAGAAACAAAAAAATTAAAATTTAACTACAGAGTTAGAGTACAGCCTACAGGACATGGATTGGCATTCTATCAAGGTGTTCAAATTCATGCATAATTTTATTTGACTTGTTATTTAGACACTTTCATTGCGAAATAATGTAGTGACTATATAAGAATGTCATAAGTAGGTGAGAAACTGCGATATTATTTTATTTGAAAGTGTCAAACACGCCAACATATCTCCATGCACCTGTTTTTAAAAACTGTTACGTAGCGAAGCCTTACGCAAACGGGCGATCACATACCTTATTTTATGTTGAATGCTGCTCCGAAAAGGATGAAAGATGAGAATGTCTGAGAAGCCGGTTATAAACATGAAAATGAACAAGAATGACATTGGCTGAAACCGGACCCTAAAACACTCTGAACCCTTTAACCGACAGTAAACGTTCTCGTGTTTATAAGATTTGAATGAGGTTGTTTCAAGTTCAGTTTAAGTAAATAGACACCTTAAGATTGACGTACTTTTCGCAAACGTCTAACCGCTAACCGCTAGAAACCACGTGACCAGGAGCTTGCCGTCACGTTTGCCGTAAATCGCTCACGTTTTAAACCTCAAGAGTGCATTCTACAGGTAAGTGATTTACTTCAGCATTTTATTCAACTGTTATTACTTCATTGCACGTATATCACATATATTAAGACAAATATACATCTTATCTTTGATTTGGATGGATAAAAGTTGCTTTTAACAGGAAATTTTTCATATTCTGAGTGATTTTAACCGAACCATGTATAAATCCGATATATAGACATGACGTCCAATCGACTCTCTAATTTATTTGGGTTAAACAAACATGAAAATTTTGATTGTCAGTTCAATATTTTGTGGCCGATTTTGGTATGATAGATTTCTTAAATTGAGATTTGTTTATTTTAAGTCGTGTTTTGAATCGTTTTAATTAATAAACGTTTACATTTGAACATTCACGATCAAGCAAGTTCAAAATCATTGATGACCTCAGTTTTCACAGTCCGTGTTTAAACATACTTGCATATTTCTTACTTACATTTATACTTTCATATTTCAATTCATTTTAACAAAGTGGTAGTGACATTTGTTTTTTTGACAGGATGGCACAATTCAAATGGATCCTATAGGTTCGATGGAAAAAAATTGAAACCGCTAACGGCAAACCGCGGTTTGCGGTCAGGCGTAAATAAAATAAACGTCAATCTTATGTTGTCTATTAGACACCGCGTTAACTTGAAACAATGTTATTTTCCTTTCATTTGGGTATAACCAAGAAGCCTCATATATATTTATTTATTTAAATAAATTTATTGGACCGTGTCCAAGCGGTAAGAGTGCGAACGGGACTCAGGGCCTGTTCATATGGGAAAAGTTATCTATTTATAATCTTTTTATCTATTTATCTTAGTATAATCAATTATTTTGACAATTCTAAAAAATTCTGTGGAGCTAAAAAACATTATTATGAATAATCATCTTTACGTAATTTTAAAAATTTTGGCACCACAGAATTTTTTTAAAATTGTCAAGATAATTGATTATACTGAGAAAATCATTTTTAAATATAAAATTAGGGGGTCACCGATGTCGTTTACGAGTTAAATTCATTGAACTAAAAATAACTGGAACGCTACGTTCAGTAAACTGCGCATGCAAATTTTGAAGCCAAAATTTGACTCTCATGAAGCCAAATGAAGCCAGTTTTGACTCCCAGACACGCACTTCCACGCGTGTTTCTACTGCGCGATTTACTCGCGAGACAATGCAGGGGGCGCTCGAAGCGATGGAAGCATGCCGTTTTGAACGTTTTCATGACAGGATGCAAATCGAAAGGGAAACGGGCCTTTTCAGTTTAAAACGGGCCTTTTAAAGCCTGTGTACGACCTTGTAGAATTTAGCTTCAAATTTCCGCTTGAACGTAGCGTTCCAGTTATTTTTAGTTCAATGGTTAAATTACTTTAAAGCCAAAATATCCGCCATCTTGAAACGTCATTGTTGCCATAGGAACGGCAGTTGCGTAACTTTTGTGCAAAAATTCAAACTCTTTAGAGGTTGTTTTATATAAGCATGGATAATAAAATAAATGGATATGAAACTAGCTGACGTGACCTAATGTTTTTACTGGGATTGATGGCGTGGCTGGGTTGTTGGAAACGGGTCTTCACAACACAATCACCAAATTAATAAAATATATAATAAAACAAAAATAAATTTACAAGTATAATCTGATATCTAGTTCACGCTTCGCTAAGGTTTTTCGATCAACAACGTGTTCGTTACATTCGTCCCCGGAATTACATCACCCCGGGCAAAGTTCCTAGTGGACTAATTTCCGACATTGCGCAATTTACTTCACTCTCCCCCTATTTGACTTGCTACAAGACAAATATATAACCTAGTAAATCACGTGCTAAACAACTAACTTTAATATAAATGTATCTTTAGTTCATGCTAAGTGTTCTCTCTAGTCCAATTCGTCTAGTTCATTTCTAGCAATGTTCGCTATACGTTCACGAGCTTCGACTGCTGCGGCTCTCGTAGTTCTTTCAGATGACTTTTCTTGTTTTTCGTTTGTTCCAATATCTTCAGTTGGGTAGATATCACACGATAATTCCATCGGGAATAGATGTTGCATCGCACGTTCGATATGGGACTTCCCTGCTCTCAAACGCGCTCCTCTTATTACACCGTCTCTGCCAACAATG